ACCCCAGTGCCTCACAGCTCCGGGGGTCTCCTGCCCCCCCTCACCCCCCCACCATCATCAGAAACCTTGAGCATCTGCAGATGTGACATGGATTTGTTCATTAAACCCTGACCTTAACCAGATGAACGCTGGATAATGTCATTCTCCTACAACGGGCCGAGGCCCACGTGGGCCGCCACCGTATGAATATATTTGACAGAGTGGCAGGTGAAGGACGGGGGTCAGGTCTGATGGTATTCATTAACTGTTTACATCCCGTATGTGCATGACGACCTTCGGACGACCTTCAGTGCTAATGAATGACTGAAGGACAGATCAGTGGGTCTGGACATATAGAAATATATATTTATATATTTGTTCGTCCACGATATTCACATCCAACATCAAATGTTTGGATTTGTCGTTAGATTCTACTAGAGTCTCCAGGTATTTCACCATCACCTCCACCTTCTTCTACAGCATCTTCTCCATTACTTGACTCTCCTCCGTCACCTCCACCCTCTGGTCCATAAGCAACCCCGACAGACCCCCCGACCCCCCCCTCTCTGTTGCCGACACGTTGGAGGCATATTCATGAGGGTGGGGTAATTAAGCAGTCAGCATTTGGATGACTTCCAGATGGATGACTTATTATTGCCATTATTGATACTGGCTGCTGTGAGCGCCGCTATCAGGGATTAATGCTGTTAGAATTTAGAAGCCTGACACCGCGGCACCACTTAGCGCCGTGATGGATCGTGTTCGGCAAAGTCGTTTGCGCTGACACTCGCTCACTTCCTCTCATTTTATGTACTTTGCTGGCCTTATTAAGGCTCTTAGCCGCGCCTTAATTGCCTATTTAGAATTCTCCTCTTTGTGACCTAGATGTGTTTTATTTGGTGAATGTAATTAAGTTACCTGTAAATATCTGTGCCAAGGCCTCATCCGTCTCTGTTACGCTCCGACTCTATTTTTGTTTTAATTAATTTAATGGCAGCCGTGTCTGGACACCATTAACCTCAGAGAAAGTGAGAGGAGAAACCAGCGCGCTGCTCACGCTCAGATGAGCCAAACCCAAATGTTGGACAGAGAAAAATGTCTCCTGGTACAGTGGCCCATTTCTGGTGTGGGCGAGCCGGCTGGAGGAACTATTTTTAAAGACGGTCCCTTCATCTACTTTTGCCAAATTACAGTCAATTCCAACTGCAGGAACGTTCTCGCCAGATTTGATTTTTTTATTCAGGAAACCAACAAAAAAGCCTCATCACAACATCTCATTTTTTATGAGTTTTTTTTTTTTTTTCTCAACTGAACCAAACTGAAGGAATGAAAATGTGGTCCGTTAGTTCAGCTTTTGATAGAAAAAATAAACTCCTCTGGTCGGAATCCAGGAAGTAGGTCAAGTGATTCCCACCCTTTGGTGAACCAGAATTGGCTTCACATCTGGACTGGTGTCCAGAATGTCGCCTGAACATTTTGGACAGTACTCTGGCCTCCATTTAGTGTCAAACATACGACATGCAGACAGTTTGGCCCACCTGATGGGGTTTAAACACCAGTTTGTCCAGGAACCAAAATGAGTTTGACTCCACTGATCTAGGTTTTTTTTGTTCTATGTATGAATTCTTCTTCTTTACTGGTCAGTGAACTTTGACCCTAAAGACCCAGACCAGTCTGTGGGTGGAGCCTGCACTGCCTCCTGCAGGATGTTTTCATTTAAACTTCTGTTAAAAACCTGGGAGAGGCTGCTGGTGTGTGGAGACTCCATTAAGAAATGGGACACAGCTCATCAGCGCCCCCACATCCTGTCCCTGACAAGCGTGGAGGACATGGCAGATGCCCCGCAGAAACACTTAGACCACGAGAAGGAACAAGCTCGTTCCTTATTAATGTGCTCTTTTACAAAGCAACCCGGTGTTCAGCGGCGCCCCCGGGGGACGAGTGTGTGTGTGTGCAGCCAGTGTGGCGAGTGGGTCTGTTCATTTTTAACGTGGGCTAACCTGTCCCTATAGGTGCTGCACTAAATCAAGATGCTACTTAACTGCTCGGGTAGCTCTTACTCACTGAGCACAAAATGTTGATAAAGATTCATGGAGCGGCTCCGGCCGACAGCAGCTCCGACAGGAACGCTGTCGCTGGGTTTTTAGTCCAGATTACTTCTTAGTGCTGCCTGTTGTTGTTCCACGGGAATAACCAAAAAAAACAGAACATCAGCAGGTGAATGTTGTTTATCTGTCAAATATGTTGGTTATAAAAATATTTAAAGACCTGATTTTCTTTTCTCACAGTGTTCGGCTAAATGTGTTCTTTTCTGGTAAATGTATGAATATTTTTGGACGTAGCCTCGCGGCTAATTTTTCACCATTTAACTGAACTGAACCATTTGTGACCAGATTCAAATTTTGGAAATGATGATGAAAATACCCAGAAGCCATTGCAGTTAGTCCAGTAACTCCAGCTGAAGTGAATCGTGTGTAAATATATTCATCCTGGTCCGGTGTCTCAGCCACAGACGTTAACCCAGAAACCCAGGGCTTCATCAAATCACAGCCTTGGTCAGTGACCTCTGACCTCCCTCTCATGACCTGGACCTGCGTCATTACACACGTTAAATCAGGTTCGGTTGTTAAAACCAAAAAAGGAAGGAAGGAAAAACACATTTTCGTTTTCTAAGCGTGGCGCTCCGGTGGTAACTCCTCGGAGATGCCCGGGGTTTTTGGTAATGATATGTGTTGAGGAGGCAGCAGACAGGGCTGAACGCTCGGCTGCGGCTGCACCTATTAAAGGTGGCGCTTTAGAATAAGAGGGCAACGCTCTGGCTGATTTCCCCCGGGGCTTTTTTGTTTTTCTTCTTTACTTGCAGCATCAAAACAACACAAACACAAACACACATAAACACACAAACACAAACACAAACACACACACCGAGACATACAGACGCCCAAACAACAGAGATTCTAGGTTTAACCCCTCTTTATAAACCAGTCATTATTGAATGACCTTGTGTGTGTTATGGAACATGATGGATGCAGAGCTGCAGCACAGCATGACAACAACAGGCATCTGTGTGTGTGTGTGTGTGTGTGTGTGTAGCTGCAGTTTATTCAGCAGTAATCAGGTCTCAGTGCTGAATCTCACCTCGTTATGTTACTTTTACAGATTCTGCCCCCGGTGGTTTGAACTGGTTATGTTCTGTGGGTAAAAGAATGAATTGTGTCAAATTATAACCTCTGTAAGTTGTCTGACTTAGCTTAGCTAACGTTAGCTCTGATCCCTGTACTGTTGTGGCTAACATTAGCTCTGATGACTGTACTGTTGTAGCTAACATTAGCTCTGATGACTGTACTGTTGTAGCTAACGTTAGCTCTGATGACTGTACTGTTGTAGCTAATGTTAGCTCTGATGACTCTGTGGTTATCAGATTTTTTTTTTTTTTTGGCAAATCCAGATTTACCAAATTAACTATTTCAGTAACAGATTACAGTTTTAACTTTTACGGAAGTGAAGTTTCGACGCGGGGCTAATTCCTACGGTAGGAGGCAGAGATGAGGAACGTTGCCTGAGGAACGTGAGGAAGGACTTTTATCTTCCGTCACAAACCCTAACTCCAGTCTCCACCGCAGGTCTGTGCTGCTCCTCGGGGCGACTGTTACTTTTACTTATATGCTAACAGCCACCCACCTGCGCCGACGTCCCTTAATGTTCCTCCGTCTTGGTCTGATCACACACACCGACACAGTCACGTATTGATGTCTCTCCTTGATCTGTAAACTCTGATCTCTAATTGCACAGGAGGAATAATAGAAGCTTCTGCAGCAGATGTGATCTGTGGCCACCAGCGCTTTGAGTTTGCATCACAGCGGCCAACGGCAGTGCAGGCAGAGATCACACGCTGCAGGTGGCAGCAGTGGGAGGTCTCCTCCGTTGTGTACACGTGTGTGTTTGTGTGTGTGTGGGTGACAATATGTGCATGGGTGAGAAGAGAAATAAAAAAAAAAAAATAACCCAACAGCGATGGCAGTGACAACGCTCTGCCTCCGCGGCGTCACAGGTACTGGGCTGCGGGCGAGGATTAATCATTCAGCAGGTCTCACAGCTGTGCTTGGCTGCTCATGCACGGCAGCTGTCAGTGCACGTGGTAGCAGCGATGGTTTGGCTTGATTAGGTCTCTTTAGCCTCCACATCCCTCCGTCTAAAGGTCAGCGTGTATCCGTGTCTGAGAGCGGGCGCCGCCGCAGAAGACGAGCCTGCTTTAAATTCACATCCAGTCCTGGAACTGTTTGTCAAACTGGTCTGGACTTTACCATCATGTCATCAGTCTGACAGGCCCGCTAAATGCTAACTGCTAACTGCTAACTGCTAACCCGTCAGGTCCTGGAACTGTTTGTCAAACTGGTCTGGACTGGAGCAGAATGACCAGTCACACATACAGAACTGTTCAGTTCCTCTGTGGTAGAAAGGCCTCAGTCTCTACTGTGTGACGACGGTTCCTTCAGGGGAAAGTTCTCTTCCTGGAACTGTTCCTCAGTCCTGTCAGAAAAGTTCTGTTTTAAATAATAACAAGAAAAATGAAAGAATAATCTGCGGGTGTTTGTTCAGAACGGTTCTGACAGGAAGAACGTCGGGTTAATGAAGACTGTGAGGAACCACGGTTTGGTTTCCACCAGGAAATGGAGCAGGACCAGACCTTTGTATTCTGTGTGAAGTGGGATCAGAGAACGGACTCCGCACAGTCATGAATAAACAACAACCAACCAGCAGAGAGCAGCGCTGCATCCTGCTGATGCAACAACACAGCAACGTACGCTGCTGCTGCTGCTGATGATGCTGCTGATGATGATGATGATGATGATGATGATGATGACACCGGACTCAGCTGCTGCTGGTTGTTCCGCTGTAAGAGTACTAGGTACCAATGGTACCGACACTGAATGTTTTGCTTCATATTGTCAAGAACATTTAGGCTAACTGTTAGCATCACGATGATTTAAGTTTTGCCTTATGATTGGACATTGTTTGGCTACATTTTGCTCATTTCTGGCTAACTTTAGCCTCAGCTACGTTTGGCTAACTTCTAGCAAACTCATATTTAATTTTGTTTTCGTCTCTCTCTCGTCAAGATCCATGGTCCCCGTGTTGATAAACCACCAGCATCAGTGTGAACAACTATCAAAAACAAAACTCCCATTTGGAGGTAAATACATTTTCTGCTTCACTTCACGACTTCTGCTCCTTAAAAAGCCGTTTCCACAGACTCACCCCAGCGTGACGCTCTCCTTCATCTCCTATTATCCCTCTTTATTCCTGTTATTCTGTATTTTATTGCTTTTATGTGTTTCTTTTCGCTCCGTCTTCTCTGACTTTGTCTTTATGCTTTTATTTATCGCCGGCGGTTCGCTGTCTTCTCTGCCGTTTTCCGTTCCTCTCCGCTGCTGAATATCCTCTTTTTATTTGCTTCCTTTGTCAGAGCACCTTATGAATGTCTGTTTTTGTAAAGGGCCAATACCAATAAAAGATGGGTAGTGTAGAATAAATGGGCCGTGTAATGTATCAAGAAGCAGAGGAGAAACACCTGGAGTGGGCCGCAGCCCGGAATCCAAATAACGTCTGAGACAAATGTCACAGTCGGAAAGTCGGAGTTTTGGTTTGAACTCAACGGAAAAACAGCACAACCCACAGTACACATGTACTGGCCCACATCATATGGGCCACATTTTAGTTTAATGTAAAAAAATGTTGTACTACGTACTAGATTGGTAAAATCTAGCAAAAAAAAAAAAAAAAACGTGTCCCAGATGAAGAGTAGCCGACGTGGGCAGCAGCTGGTTTTGTCGTTGACCTTTCTCATCATGACCTTTTACATTTGCATTAAATACCTGGGGGGGAAAAAGGTCGTCGTAAAGGTTCATTTCAGCCTAAAACTTTTATATAGTACTGTTTTGTACAGGAAGTTCCTCTCGTCCGAATGTTAAGGACAAGTTCAGACGTTTCTACTCTGAACCTTTAATCTTTTCCGACCTGGTTTTCCACCGGCTGGAAATGACTCGACTGAAGTCTGTTTTTCATCGTAATAAACCAGAATTCCGTCTAGTGAGTTAGAATATTCCAGTTGGAATCACGTGGAACGTTGAACTGAAGTGTTGTCGGTTCAACTCCGGTGTCTGTTCCTGTGTTGACCTTTCACTCTAACCAGAGTGAATCTCAGTGTGAATGACAGTGTGAATGGTCGTCAACATGGAGGCAGCACCGCAGTAGCAACAGGAACTGTGTTCTTTTGGTACCAAAGGCAGAGCCAATCAGAAGGCTGCGGTCCAACCTACATGTTCTCTCAGTGAGCTCTGTCTGATGAATGTGTTTTTTTTATGCAGCATGAACTTATTTAAATACATCTCCCTCAGGTCTCTGCTGGCAGCCATGTTTTTTTTTTCTCTCTTTTCTATAATATATTCTGACGCAGATCCACTTTCAAAGATGTATCCCTGTATGTTCCACTGATCTCTTTAAAGAGAGATCTGCAATTTGAGCTGATGCAGTGATTACCGCTGCTCCTCCATTCTCCAGCTGCATTCATACGCAGCTCGTCTGCAGCAGCAATTTACTCTTAATTGCAACATTTAAAACCAAAGAAGGGAATGTATTTAAGGTACACCACACAAGTGCCTTCTTTAAGAGACCATTTCTGGTCTTCTGCAAAAGAATTTTAAATGTTTTATGGTGAATGTAACAAATATATGAAGAGTCCTATATGAGACTGTTGACGGAAGCTGCGGTCTTTACAAACGTCAACCTGTGAAATAAGGTTTAAGTGGAGTGAAGGATGTCGGTGGCTAAGTGGAGTAAACACCAGAGCTAACGTTAGCTACAAAGTGGCTAAGTGGAGTACAGACACCAGAGCTAACGTTCTGTTAAGCTAAGCTAAGCTAAGGTCAGTGGAGATGAATCTATTTGCAGGTTTATCTTTCATAACTTATCTAAACCACAGGAGTCGTACCAACAGTCAGATTTAACAGTTTTTATTTGTCAACCTGACACAGATTAAATGACATCACAGCTCACTAAGTAAGGTCTGTCTTTCTACTAAAAAAAAAAGTCGTTCCTGTAGCTTCATGTTCACTTGGTGAATATGCAGTGAGTGTTTCTGTGTCTGAGTTCATCTCAGGATCTTCCTAATCCCACTGTCTTCAGGTCTTGACGCTGCGGAACGCTAGCCTTCACTCAAACAAAAACACGTTTGTTAAAGCAAACCTGTTTTTATAAAGAAGTACGACACTTGAGCTGAGGAACAATTAAACAACTGCCCGTGTCAGTACGGACAGATTTATAATGGAACGTTTATGTTCAGAGCTGCTACAGCGAACCAGGTTGCCAGGTATTTCTAAGGTCAACAGCAGAAACACTCTGGTCTTTTCCAATCTCACACTTCAATAAAGTAGTGAGTGAAGAATGTACGAAAGATATTTAGGATTTAGGAGATTTGAAGCATGAAAGGCTGCGAAGACAATATGAAGTGGAGATTCAGCAGCACGTTCAAGGTCTTTACAGAGTGGTGTTGACACAGAAACTTTACCAAACGCCGCCGTCTTCTTATTGAGCAGATCAGGCCTCTGTTTTATTACAGTGTTCCAGCTAAGGTGAGGTCCATTCACGTCAGCCCGATGGGCAGAGAACTTGATTTGATTGGTGGATCCAGAGCAGCATTATGAGCCCTGTAGAATTAGTCTGCGTATAAACATAATTGATACGTAGAAAAAAGGCCTGAATGGGACGAGAAAATGTCCTCCCATAAACCCTTAATGGCAGTAAAAGCCTGAGTGAATCCAGGATAGATTCCTCTGTGACAGCGCTGACTATTGGGCCAGAGTGTCATAAAACAAAAAGGCTGAGAGTAATTACAACTACACTTAATGCTTTTACAGCTCACTTCCTGTGGGACTGAACGAGCAGCGAGACGTCGACTCCTCGTCGTAAAACCTGTTGAAGGACAAGTGGAAAATATCATGGTTTTAAATGGAGAAAAAGTTGATGGTGAAGTGAGTCGGAGCCGCGTTTGTTTTATTTACCTTCTATCTGAGTGAGTGTGTGTGTGTGTGTGAGTGTGTGTCCTCACTTCACCTCCGAACACTTACAACATCAGGGACAGTTCAGCTGAAGTATTGCAGTATATCACATTATATCGTGATATGTATCGCATCGACAGATTCTTGCCAACACACTCCCCTAGTGGACAAAGAGTGGTAACTACAACTTTTTTGCTTTTTTTATTCTCCATCTGTCAGAACGACACAGTGTGGAGTAAATCTCTGTTCACTGCAGCTCAGACTGAACGATGAACCTTTGACACTTTTCTTTTCTCTTCTTTTCTTTTTTCTTTTCTTTTCTTTTCTCTGTTGCTGTTGCAGCTTCTGTGGATCCAGACAGAAGCTGCAGGTGTTTCTGATGGAGAGACTGTGACAGTGAGGCTCTGCTCTCCTTCATCATTAAACTGAGAAGTCATCTTCAGACATAACAACCTTTGTCAGCTCCACCAGCCTCCACTCTGGCTGCTGCTGCTGCTGCTGCTGCTGTTGCTGCTGCTGCTGCTGCTGTTGCTGCTGCTGCTGCTGCTGCTGCTGTTGTTGCTGCTGTTGCTGCTGCTGCTGCTGCTGCTGCTGTAACTGCTGCTGCTGCTGCTGCTGCCCTGGTCCTCTTATTATTATCTCTGTAATGGACTGCAGCTGCTGGACAACACGCTGAAGTCGGTGACATCAGAGTCAACGAGAGAAGAGAAATCGATATCAGAGTGAAATGACAAACCTTCACAGATCAGCCGTATTTTCTCTGCTGTGGAACAAGCTCTCTGCTATTTATTTATGTATTTATTAATTTATTTATTTCTGGAGAAGACTCTGTTTCTTAACCTTAGAGCCAGTCAACACTGCACCTGGTACTGGTACACTTTAGTCCAGGTGGCACCAGACTCTGGACAACCTGGTCAAAGATCCTGGTCAAAGATCCTGGTCAGGTCCAACCAAAAGCTAAAGAAGGATGCTCATTTGGCAAAGTGCTCACTGACAACACTAGGGGGCGACCAGGTTGGTTCTTGATCAAACAAAGATGATTACCTATGAAGCTACACTTAAACTGGTCCAGATGGGTACATGGATTATGGGATGGATTTTTCTGGCAAGATAAAAATATAAATAAAGAAATATATTTTCTGCCAAACAGAATATTTAGCAACGTTGTTCGAATGTGTCGATGATAAATATATTGAACCAAAAGTCACTTTGGTTCTCATACCGTTACAGGCCGCGGGGGGCGCTGCCGACTGTACTGGGGTGTACTACCACCTGTCTCCTGTAGTAGTACAGTGAACACAGTCATGCAATCAAGGTTTCACTTGTCGACGGCGTCAAAGCTATGAAAGAAACTGCAGAAACAAAGGGAACAAAACCCTCAGATGTTGATGTTTATCAGCGGGGGGGCGGGGGGGGGGCAGATATTTATTTTTTTTCTCCCTAAAGCTGTTCGCTCAGTTGGCAGCAGGTGCAGCGTAAAGACCTAATCACATTCGTGGCTCATTACCCGGCGACTGTGTGCACATATTTGCCTCTCTGTGTCCTTATTAATCAAGCGCCGCCGACCCTGAGTGCTCCTCTCCACTTTTCCACATCACTTGCTACGAGCAACAGCGGAGCGGAGAAACCTGATGAGACCACCTGCTGCTGCGGCCGTCCTCCCCTTCCCCAACACCTGCAACGCTAACGTTCGTCATCTCTCTCTGAAGCCCGAACCGCTGCCAAGCGAAGAAGCGCCGTCGCCCCCGTACGATACGTAGACTTTTGGAAAAAAACAAAAAAAACAAACAAAAAAAAAACAAATATGTAATTGATGTGTGAGTCCGTGAAAAATGACTCTGGAAAATCATCCAGGTTCTTGTCAGACCTGGTTCTTTGAATGAAAAAAAAAAAAAGAAAATCCCTAGTGGTACTGCGTGGGGATTTCACTGTACGTTTACATATATATCGTAAAACATACGAAACAAAATCACAAATCCTGAGATTTAATTCTTATACTTAGTTTCTGTCACTATTTTTATTACTTTATTTATTTCTTTTGTATATTTATATTTGTGTATATATATTTATATTTGTTTATATTTGTGTGTCTATGTTATTCCTGCAGAAGTGTCTCCTCTACAACTGGCTGCAGTCAGCAAGATGAACCAATCAGGAGTGGAGTTTGGCTGTGACTCCGCCCACCTACAGTTGGCCGTGATGACGTCACACATTCAGGTAATCAGTGCAGGTGTGTGTTCTCAGAGGGAGAAGCCAAGCCTGGAGCTGAGGAGTTTGTTTGTTTGTTGGTTTGTTGACAGTTTTCTTTCTTTTTTCCAACGTGGCTCATGTTTACGTTCAATGAAGACGAGAAGTGAAGACAGAGTTTGAAGACCAGACCAGTGAAGTCAGTGAAGGACTCCTCCAATGGACAACATGGACAGGAGACCCTCGTGGACCAGACCTCGTCACCGGTGAGTCCAGTTTTTATTTACGTCGCGGCTGCAGTTCCTCTGACGGTCCTGATGGTGGACTCATGGTCATGGTCGTGTTGATGCTTCACCTCCTGCTCTGGTTCTGGTTCTGGTTCTGTTGGTCAGTGATGTCGTGGTGTTGTTGTTTGGTCAGTTGAAGTTCACTGATGCTGCTGAACATGGAGCTGTGCTCGTTGCTGTTGTTATTTATTTCCATTTTGAGACAAATATTGAATTCCATTTTTTGCACCACTTGACCTCGTTGTAACATTTGTTTGTTTATTTATCTTTAAATCTCTATCTTTATATCTGTTTCCTGTGGACGTCTGTCTTTGCTGAGCTGTGTTTGTGCTGCTAAGGAAACCTGGCAAAATTAAAAAACAAACGGACACATCGTTGTAGAATATCGATACAGTTTAATGAAACAAAGTATCGTGATATTTCAGTGTATTTTCTTCCACTCTGAATGTGTGTAACTCCAGAGCCTGACATGTGACCGACATCGACGTGCTGTACGTCGGATTGATCTGTTCTCACGTTCAGAACCAGTGAACGTCAGGTTTTTTTTTGGTCCAACTGTGCGGTCCAATTACTTGGCCCATTGATATGTACATCACTTCAGCGTTCACGCTGCGAGACATCAAAGGAGGAAGTGTCTCCTGTGATGATGATAAATATTCACACAGAGATGAAAAGACAAACATTAAAACAATGGCCCACCATGGTTTTTTACCTCAGTGAATAGGATTTTAAAATACCACCGCTAATAACAATAATAAAAATAAAGATGTGTAAAAATAGTCCGCCGGCTGCAGGGAGTCATTGTGGGAATTTTTGGAAAAACATCTTTGCAGAAAAAGCGGAGCGTCTGTAGCTGTGGCTCAGTGTGAGCAGAGTCCTGCTGGGCTTCATTGTTTCTAGGTGTTATCTCACACACTCTGCATGTTCCTGCACCGTCTCCAAACGCCCAGGGTCCCCATTCATTCAGAGTGGCCCCTGAGACACACACACACACACACACACACACACACACACACTCTGTTGTCAAAACTAAAAGTAGGCCACAGAGTCGGCCCGGCCCGGCTGTCCAGAATAGCTGAAGGTGGACAAACAATGGAATAAAAGAAGAAAAACCTGAGGAGAATATTTGATTGTGTGGAAGGTTCTGGTCCAGATCAGAGGCTCTCCTGAGGTGTCCTCTTTGTCCACCTGTTCTCGTCCCTGTCCACAGTGTTGGTCCAGTCTGACGTCCAGTTGCCGTGTGACTTATTAGCTGAGGAAGTTTGGTTCATGTCTGTGACTTCAAAACTAAGGTTCTGGGTCAGACTGAGGTCCACAGGTGTCGGACCTCCTTGTTGTGTCAACAATCAGAACCAGGACAACAATATGGTCCGGACTTAACCTCAGAAGTACTGGTACTTCAGTAATACTGTAGTATATTGGATTATGAGGGAGGGAGTTCCCATAATGCTTTGTGGTTTGTTAGAAACGTTGCAGGTTGTTTCTTCATTTCATCTCTTACACAGTCGGGTTTCTTTATGGCCCATTTGTTGGACCAGGTATACTGGTCTGGTCCAGACCTGTTAACCACAATGTGGTGCAGCCCATGTGTGGTGCAGCCCAGCTGGGGTGCAGCCCACTTTAAATTATTAAAGTATAATTAATGGCTAAAATGTAGCAATTAAATCAATTTAAATAAAAAAAAAGTCCTTCAGGAAAAACACGTCCCTGAAGCTGGATGTTGATTTTTGGTTCTTTCTCAGAAGTCATAACCAACGTCTGTTTGACAAGAAACTGTTTTTTCATCAAAGTCTGTCAGTGAAGTGGAGAGGAAGTAAAAACAGAACCAACTGTTGTGGGTTTTTTTACCGCGTGTTTCCACTTGTCAGCAGCAGCAGTTTAACTTTGAAATATTTACTTAAGGGAAATTAAGCAAGAATAAAACACGACCTTTGGATCTGCAGCCATGAATAAGAAATGGTTTATTGGCTTTTCCTGTCGGTGCGGCATGAACGGTGTTGGAGGGAACGTGGTGGGGGAGCAGGGAGGGAGGGAGGGAGGGAGAGAGGGAGAGAGAGAGGGAGAGAGAGGCTGCTGGATTAACTTTGGTTTTTTACATCACAGTGTTGTTGAGTGTGACTCACAGTCAGAAAAACTGTTTTACAAAATACAAATATATAAATTTTACACCACTGTTGACTAAGATCTGAACAACGACCTGTGAGAAATTAATTTAAAAAAAATGAACAAAACAGGAAGAAAAGTATCTCAGATGGAAGAAAGAAAACAAAAGGAACAAACACCAGGAATATTTGACTGGGAATTAGGGATAAAAAATACATACATTTTGTGAAATGAAAAATATTATGATACTTTAATTTTCCTTGTACTGTTTTAATACATTTAGAAAAAAAAACAGCTAAAATATAAAATATATTAAACTAAACGTCAACCCAAAAATATGGGCCGTCAGTTGGGAAAAAAAAAATCTCAAATCCTGTTCAGGTTTTGTCAGTCAGAATCAGGAGAAATAACAATGGCCTTTCTCCTCCTCCTCCGTCGCAGCAGCAGATTGGACGTCATAATGAAATAACAAATGTCGACTTCTGTGTGTTGGCGTCTCCATGTGGCGTGCTCTCTCTCCCAGCCAAAGTAAACTCTCTCTCTCTCTCTCTCTCTCTCCCTCTGTTTCCAAACTTCAGACAAAGAAACTGGTTCCACGTTTGTTCTTTTCTTTAAATGTAAAATTCTCAGATTTTTCAGATTTCATCTTTGTTAACCAGAGTCTCCGGTCGTTAATGTACTAAATATCCTTAACTTTAACCAAAAAAAAAAAAAAAAAAAAAAAAAAGGTTCTTCTGGCTACACCAGTTCAACGTCCAATCAGCATGCAGAGTTTTTCTATTTTCTTCTGAGCTAATTCCCACTTCTCTCTCTCGGCATCATGGGTATATTTACTTTGTCTTCTCAGCTCAGAAGCGCTAAGCTAATGCATAGCCTGTTTTTTGCTGTTCTGGTAAACCTGCTGCTGTCTCTGGGCTAACTTTAGCGATGTTTGCTAACCGTGAGGGTCACATGACTTCAGATGAAAAGAACACGGATGTTTGTTTAGTTCGACAGAAAGAAGGAGGAACTAAACCAAGGATAAATGAAAGACGTGGTGGAACTGTTCCTCTGATGTCTGACCTTTTCTTCTTGTAGTTTTTCTATTTAATAAACTGATTTGATTCCTGTCATTACTCCATGTGATGGCGCTCTGTGGGTTAGTTTTTATCCCCTCACACCCTGTGTGTGTGTGTGTGTGTGTGCGCACATGCAGCCAGTTTGCGGAGCTTATTAAAATGCCACACTTCCATCTAACCATATTTGCATCTAATTTTTTTGTACATTATTTTCCTTATAAAAAAAATAAACTATCCTCACAGCGGCGCCTCCTATAGGCTTCCTGTCTCATTTATATTCTGCTGCTGTTGCTGCACCAAATGGCCATGGTTTGATGGACTGATTCACAATATAATGTCAATCAAACATTCTGGACACCAGCACCGAGCAGCACCATCGGTACTTTGGACATGTTTTATTCATAATACGACTTTAAAATATATAAAGAATAAATAAATTCATTTCTGCAAAGTCACAGTCACAAAACGCAGGTAAATAAATGGATGAATAAATCTTTGACACGGTGAAGGTGTTTATTCAGCGGGATAATTAGCTTCATTAGGAAAATTAAAGGAAGTGTCGGACTGAATGACGAGAGGCCGACGCTGCGGCGTGTGACGGATGATTGACAGACCCTGGTCACAGGACCGTTTCTAAAGGGCTAGACAAAACAGAAGTTACTCAGTCTGAAATATGAACCACGAGCAAAGTGTTTTTTAGAGTTTAGCCTTTAGCACGTTAGCTACAACAATGTCAATGGAGACAAAAGAAGACGATTGAAAATTTAAAGTTGTAATATTTTCCAAATTTTTTGCTCACTGGTAACAATGATGCGTAACATTCAGCCCACTAGGGGGCAGTAATGACCCAATGGTTCCTTTTGTCATACATCAAAGCTAACGTTGAGACGACAAACGTTGTCCATAGAGTAACAGCTGTAGTTGTACTGCGACTTTGTAGTAATCTGTGAATGTAGTACTCTGATGAAACATGTACAGAGAAATAATCAGTAAGAAAGAAATTTAAATGAGAATTGTTTTTTTAATCTTTTACAAAGCTCTATTTTGTTGTTGTTGTTTTTTTAAATGGTGTCCCAGCTGTGTTTGTCCTCGTCCTCAGGTTCAGTCTGTGTAAACAGGGACAGAGTAAATGTGCCTCCCTGCAGTTACTGAAACAGTTCCAGTAATTACCCAACATGAGTGAAAGAACAAGGACACACAAAGGGAACGGCAGAAGAGTTAAAGGAGCCGTTTAAAGCAGTGGTCGGTGAACAAACTGCAGCTGGTACTGTTGTTTCAGGTCACAGACACCCAGGTACCGACAGCAGGAACAACAACACACCCAAGGCTTTGTTTGTCGGTGCCGGTTGTTTAGATTCTCAAAATATCGTTGCTAGTTCTATGCAACATGTGTCTGTGTGAACATGGAGGAGTTCTCCTGGTCCTCCACAGACCAGGCTTCAGGTCAGACAGTATTTTAGTGGACAGATAAACAGAGCTAAAGGTCAACAAGGTCAAACACTGCAGATTGTTTTTACTGAAGCTCGACAGAGACTTTTATTTTGACAAGACTTTTGACGTTTGTCAAAATAAAATGGCTGTTTTTTTTGTTTTGCTTTTTGTTTCCTTGGTTCCAAGTGACCCATGGTCTGTGCTGGTCCTGGTGTTTTGGTACCTGTGTATATGAAGTGAGTGTTTGGACTCACCGTCCTCGCTCTACATTCTACAGTGAAGACGTGGTTTGGGGACGTCCCTGCGTCTCTCTTTTCCTTGAATGTCTGACTAAACTGAACCAATCAGGAGCAGTTTTGTCAAACGGAGTCGCCGTCAGGTGAGATG